CTGTATCCCTGACTGGCTGTTGAACCTGAAAGTCCAGGATCTGAGTTCTTCAGCATTCCCTCCTTCTTCATCATCATCATTACCGAATTTACTACTCAGCTCCTAGGTGCGTGGCTCTGTGCTAAATTGAGCCGGGGGGGAGGAGCAGGGGAGGACCGGGAGTGGTGGAACAGAGGGAGCTTATGAGGAGAGAGAAAAGAAAATGCAAAATCACGGTGGCCTGGGTGAGATGGCTTAGCGAAGACTTAGAACTTGAAAGGTCAATCGGTCTAATTCTCTTATCCCATGATTCAGAGAATAGGTGGTATGTAAGCTGAGCCTTGAGAGGAGAGCAGGGGTTTGAACAAGCAGAGAGCGAGAGGTGGGGGGTGGGGGGGAGTAGATGGAGGGAGCAAAGGCACTGGGGCTGGGGTCACCTCGCGGGCTGCGACCTGAAGCTAGTGATCAGCTTCTTTTCCAGCCTCCCTTTCCCCTTTATTTTAAGCTGAGTCTCTGTTGCCTCAGCCTCGTGACCTACGTGCACATGAGGGAGGCTTTCAAAGCCATTACAGGATCTCCTCCTGCTCAAGTCCTGCCAAGGTCGCCCTCAGACGCTGGGGCACTGGCTTCCTGGGAGCGCACCACTGCCTCCTCTTTCCCAAGCCCGTGACTCGCCAGTTTCTAAGGAATAAAGTACCCGAGGGAGTTTTTCCTAGCTTGGTTTGGGTGAGGTGAGGCGTTTAATCTGAGCTTTCAGTGAAAATCTAAAATATAATTAAGACTCGGAAATCCAATTCTTTAGACATTAAACGCAAACGTGTCTTTCCTTTCAGTTTTGAAGTTTACCATGGCTCCCTAAAACTAGCCCCGTAGAAAAGAGAACAGCCTCTTCAACATCCCGTGTGCACAGCAAGTGTGGAAAATTTAAATAGTCATTTGAGGTGTCTCAAAAATAAACCTCGGAAAGCACTTTGCCTACGGCGACACATTCTCGGCCGCGGGGCCCAGCGCGCAGCTGCCAGGACCCGGCGTGCCCGCCCCGCCTCCCGCTCGCGTCTCCTGGCAAGGCGGAGGCGGCGCCGCGGTCGGCGATCTGTTGGCGGCTGCCGGTCGGAGGCTCTGGGCCGCAGCGGTCTCCGGGAGTTGAGGGGAGGCTGCAGGAGCCACACGCGGAAGCCGGACGGGACTAAGGGTGGCAGCGAGCGGCGACGGGGGCGCTGCGGCGGGGCCCTAGACCTCGAGAGGCTCGGGCCCGCGCCGGCGTGTGGTGGGCCCCGGAGGCTGCCGGGGCCGCGAGCGGTGGCAGGGCTCTGCCGGGCCCGGCGCTCAGGCCGCTCGCAGCGAGGGTGGAGCTGCGTTGGAGCCTCGTTTCTTAGGCACCGAGGGCTTCTGCGGCACCCGGGCTGTTTCTCTGAGGGGATTAGAAAGGCGGCGCGATGAGGAGCCGGAGTAACTCGGGAGTCCGGCTGGACGGCTACGCTCGGCTGGTACATCAGACCATCCTGTGCCATCAGGTAAGTGGAGGGGTGTCGCCTGTAATCACCGAGGATGTGGAGTGTGATATCCTGGACAGAAACCCTGGGCGAACTCCCGAGTGCGTGTGTGTGTGTGTGCGTGTGTGTGTCTCTGCATCTGTGCATCTGTGTCTGTCTGTTTGTAGCAGGTTCTTCCACCCCCTAGCTGGGGGAGGCCCTACAGGACCCTGTAGGTGTTGAGTCTGGAACAGAACCAGAATCAGTCACTGTTAGCCGTGAACCCCTAGCCATGGCTTCGGTGCGGGGCCGCCCCCCCCAAGCTGGGCTCCAGGGGCAGAGTTGCAAGAGGTGTTGACGCTTGTTTATTGACAAGCCCCCCGAATTTGGGCGTCTTCTCCTTCCCCTTTCCCCAAAGAAAAGAGGTAGGGGACCATTTATCTTAAGCCTAGACTATTGTGAAGATCAGAGGCACTTTGTATGTTCTGTTAATTATATTTTTTCTACTCCTTTACTGTTTTCATTAATAGTTCATTCTTTCTAAGTGGAAAGTTAAAACTTTCTTTTAATAATACCTTTTAATAATACATTTAATAATACCTTTAACACATTGACTGCCACACTAGAAAAAAAAAACTTTTTCCTTGGGTCCACGGTGTTTCATTACAAAAATAGAATAAAAACTTCGAAAACAAAACGATCCTAATTTAATGAAAAAATTGGTTTTTTATTGTTTTCTGTGCGTGAGTTCTCTGCAACTTGAAAAATCGTTCTCGAGGCTCCCAAGGTGAAGAGACATGAGTTACATGTGATTCACGAGGCCCTGGGTTCAAAACTAGTGTGGGTTAAATACAACTCACATGGCAGTTAATGTGTTAATAATCCCTTTTAGTAATACTCACATTTCAGTCTTGTAAGGTTTCAGCCACCTTTCCCCTTATTCAAGCTAGCATATGCAAAGGGTACAAACTTTCCATTATAAGATGAATAAGTTCTGGTGATCTAATGTACAGCAGCATGGTGACTGTAGTTAATAATATTGTATTGTATACTTGAAATTTGCTGAGAGAGAATATATCAGGTATTCTCACTGCAAAAGAAAGGGTAACTGTGAGATGGTGGATGTATGAAATAACTTGATTGTAGTAATCATTTCATAATG